TATAAAAGTGAGAATAGGTTAAGCTTACTATTAAAAGACAATGGTTCTCAGACTGAGTCAGAAAACAACATCCAACTCTATGGTATTTACAGGTAAAACCCGTTGCCATGGAGTCGATTCCAACTCATAGCTACCCTATAGGACAGGGTAGAACTGCCTCTTAGGGTTTCCAAGGCTGTAAATCTTTATGAAAGCTGATTGCTGCATCTTTCTCTCACTTCACAGAACGCCTGTGGATTCAAACCCCGACCAATCACCGCACCACCAGGGCTCCTTTATGATTAAGACGGTCTTTCTTTTCCTAGATTTCTAACACTTAAAGTACAGTAAATTTTTTTGTAATGCTTTCTAGCATACGCTGCTTTTTAAAAAACGTATTGGACTATTAATATATTACAGTAATGCATTTTCTAATGTTAAGTTATCCTGTAGCTTTTCGAAAGGAGCCCTGGTGGCGCAGTGGTTAAGCACCCAGCTGCCAGCATACGGCAGCAACTGGAAAAAAAGAGTTTCTGATCTGAACACTAAAAGAAAAGATGACCAAAGATTTCTCAGGCGATCCTAAACAGAAAATAAATCAATACAGGTAAGAATACTAATATCATACAAAGTAGAAATCAAGACAAAAAGCATTAAATGGAATACAAGTGGCTATTTTATTTTAGCTTATTTTTTTAACTTTTAAAACTAAAAATAATACATGGACAGGGGTGGGAAGCAGAAATAATATAGAACGTTATAAAATGAAGTTCTGCTTTACCCCAGTCATGATTTCAGTCCCGCTCCTGTAAGGAAACCACTGTTATATATGTGAATAAAGGATACACTTTACCCATAAGAAGTAAATAAGATTGCATCAAAATATAAAAACCAAAGAATTTAATAGACCACCGTATTTGTGAAATATTTTTTGGTATACCTTTCTCAATCTTTGACAAATCACACAAGCAACAAATAAACTAGATTATGGAGGCTAAAATAATAAACAAAGCTATTTTAGTAGCGACATATCAAATTTTGCACCTTTCAAATGTAGAATATACTTCTATGTCAATGGAATTATTAGGCTACAAAGAAAATATTGATAAAATTTAAGAGCAGAAATTGTATAGAGCACATGACCTGATTATAATGAAATAAGACAAAAAATTCCACTACCAAAAGTTAAAATTCAAAATAACTAAAATACTTGGAATTTTAACTAGAAATGTATTTAAACATCAAGATGCATTACATGCAGAGAACCTATCCAAATTCTAGAATCAATTTTCTTTAAGTACTTTTATTTCTCATAGATAGCCCACTATACACAAAAAGGTTATGCATTAAGCCTTAGTTTTACAATAATAAAACATTGATTTTATCTCATGACAAAAAGAATGTGAGAAATTTTGTGTTGTTGTCGTCAACCTTAAGGAAATTATGAAGAGTTGAATGAGCATGCTATTTATTGAAGAAAGTGGCATTTTCCAAGGAAGGATTTATTTTTGCTCATCTTTATCATTATGGCTGTTCAAATTAATTTAAAAAAAAAAGAAGTGAAATAGCGAGCACTTTGCTTATGCACATTAACCAGATAATTTATGAACTAGGAAGAAATAGAAGTGATGGGAAGAATCAATGAGCAGAAAAAACTGTCAGGATGTGGCTGAACTAAATCATATTTTTCTAACATGAAAATATTATTCTGACATATTGGAGTGAAGAAGTAGCAGGGTTTTTTGTTTGTTCTTGAATACACGCCTCGTTTCTGCTACTGGGTCCCATCCTCCATTTCAAATGGTAAGTGGGAGGGTGCTTAATTGATTGGCAGCCCATCAAATGGGATTTGATCTTCCTCCACGACAAAACCTGTTCTTTAAGGTCAGCTTTCATTAGTTTGCTATCTGGCGCTTCTTAATCCGAAACTGCAACACAGAAACATCCTGCCCTGAGGACTTACCATTAATATGATTGTTCTGTCAGTCTCGACTCATTTCTCAGAATTTTCATCTGTCAGGGTTAATGCCAGAGTCTCCTCTGCCGCGGCTTCCCAAAGGCAACACTTGAGGAAACCGAGCCCTTGCCAGGAGTCCCAGACTAAGAGGGGAGAACGGTGGGGCCAGTTCAGGTTTTCTCCTTTCTTGTTCTTTATGTAGTTATGCTTTCTCCATTTTTTCCCATGTATTTCGTTTTATAGGACCGGTTTTATTTTTGTTCTTGTGTTCCAAGAACTGGTTCTTGAAGTTATTTAAGAAGTCTCTTCCAATTCATCTATTTGTTTTATTGTTATTCTTTCTTTCTGCTTTCTTTAGAATATTGCTCCCATTCTTCTTCTAATTTCTTTAGTTTTTTCCTTATTGAATAATTCTTATTTTTCCTTGATAAGGAATGAAATTGTTGGAGGCCATGAATTTTTCTCTTGGTATAGCCTTAACTTTGCATTATGTGTTTTGATATGTATTGTTATTTTCACTATTATTATTTTCCACTAACCATCATTTAAAGTTTCCAAGTTGTTGAGGTTCCTCCCTCCCTCACTTTTATTACTATTTTTCTCTCTTATTACATTTTTTGTTACATTGCTGTCAGAGAAAATAGGATATACTCTCATTTGGGAGGATATTACCGAGGTTTTTTTTGCGTGTGTGGGGCCAAATATTTATGGTAATTTGGCAGGCTGCTTCCATAGAGATTTACAGTCTTGGAAACCCTGTAGGGTTGCTATGAGTCAGAATCGACTGGATGGCAACAGGCATTCGCTAGTCTTTGCAAAGAATGAGCATTCAGGATATAGATTTCAAAATATATCTAGCTTTATAAATTGTTTTAAATTTTTTTTATATTTGATGTTTTTCATATTAAAAAAGTAATAACTGTTTGATATATAAGTATGACAATACAACAAAAGATGTATAAATGAAAAACTAATCATCTTCTTGCCCCATCTCCCCAAACCCTTGTTAAGAGCAAGAAAGGATCCTTCTATTTGTTCATATACCAGCATTTAATACATACATATTTAACCTTTTAAATTATGTTATTTCACTCTTTTTTTTTCTTAATGTGGAGAAAGGTGTATTAATTTTTCAGTTTTATATTTTTGTTGATTCTTGTCCTATTTCTCGACGTTTGTGTTTCATGTTTTCATGACATTTATATACAATTGTGTATAAGTACCTTTAATCATTACTAAGTGAACCTCTTTGTCCTGTTTACTTTTTGCCTTGAATTAAACATCTGACCACCATTCTCTCTTTGTTGAATTGGCTGGTTACACTTTTGCTGATTCTTTTATTTTTGTTCTTTCTAAGGTCTTTTATCTAAGGTGTGCCTCTTGTATGTGTGGTTGGGTTTTATATTTTCACCTAATCAGAGGTTTTCTTTTTTTGAGGGGGGGTGATTAATAAGATAAATAAAAATAGAAAAAAGGGAAAATCCTATATTTCTACCACCTAAAGGAACTGACAATATTTTTGTTATATTTCATTCCTTTAATTTTTATTCATTAAATATAAATTTTAACTAGATTTTTTAAAATAAATAAATAATTCCACATGGAAAAATAAGTTAAAAACATCAAGAAGAGTCCAAAATAAAAAATAAGTTACTTTTTAAATTATTCTAGTTCTACTTTCCAGAAATAACTTTTAACATTATCTGAGTTTTGTTTTTCTGGTGCTTACAATGAACACTTTATATTTCTATGTCTTGATTTCTTCCATCAAGGATGAGGACTTTAGCATATTTTCATTCTCTCTCACATCCCTTTCCCTCTTCAGCTTCATATATTTGCTAATTACAGTATTCTTTAACATCAATATTTTAAACATTTACATAGTATTCTAAAATTGCAATTTAATATTTTGTGCCTTGTTATTAGATTAATCCTGAACAATCAAACTCTACAAAAACACCACATTTAGTACAATGATCATGTCTGCATTATTTGCTGCAGAACCAAATAGAGCCCTATAGCAAGGCGAATTTAATTCTCTAACATCAAAGCCTACTACTCAAAGGACATTATCTGAAGCACCAAAGTCTCATAAAGCCTCCTGTCTTTGCTTTTTCCTGGACCTACTCAAATCTACCACTGTTTTTTGTTTGTTTTGTTTTTATGTTGTTTTTATGTTGTTTTTATGTTGTTCTTAGTTTTTTTTTTTTTAATTTTCTTTTTCTTCTTACTGGAACACATTCTTGAGAGAAGTTTTAATTATAGGTTGCATAATCTTTGGAGTTTTTACATGTCAGAAAAAGCCTTTGCCCTCCTCTTTCACTTCATTGCTAATATAGCTAGGAATAGTAATCTAACTTCAAAATTCCTATGGAAGGGAAGAGAAAAGGAAAAAAAAAAAAGAGAGAAGGGAGGAGAAAAGACGAGGCAAGAGTGCAACTGGCCCAGTGATTCCAATGACATTCCTTAATTACCTTATGCTTGCCCCAGAGACCTTGATGTGGTTATTTATGACTGTGTAACACTCTCAAACCCATTTTATTATCTCTAATGATTCTATGGGTTAACTGGGCTCAACTGGGCAGGTTTTCTGCTCCCTGTGATGTCAGCTGGGGCTGTATCCATCTGGGCTTTCAATTGGGCTATCTATATAACTCAGGATGGCTCACTCTAATGGCTAGAAGTTGATGCTGGCCGTTGATAGTGGCGGGGGCTCAGCTGGGGCTTGGACTATAGCTCCTTCACTTGGCCTTTCCATGTGGCTTGGACTTCGCACAGTGTGGCAGCTGGGTTCTGAGAAGGAGCTGGAGTTCAAAGTTCCAAGAGGAAGGAAGAGGAAGCTGCCAGTCCTCTCAAAGGATAGACCTAACTGTTGTGGTGTCACTTCCTCTCCACGTTTTGGATTTGTTGACTCTGAGCTTGGAGCTTCTCTAGAGGCTTCCTGGGAAAAATCTCTCCTACTTCTGATGTTTGAGGCTGTGGTATAACCCCCCTTTTTTGTCCCTGAAAACTCTTCTATTTTTCTGTCTTCTGTAATGACTTCAAACTTTGTGGTCTTCTTTCTTCGTTTTCTTACACTCTTACGGTTTTATTGTCTTTTGGCTTCTTTTAAAGTATTTCAGTGGAACCTGGAGAGAAACAAGACATATCTGTTTAGTTTGCCATCATGAACCAGCTCCATATCTTTTGCTCTTTGTTGGCATGTTCTGGAATTTTTACCTCAGTCTATTTTTGACAAATTATTATCTAATTTCCATTGGGTAAAATAATAATAATACATTTCTTTTGTAAGTCATAATAATTACATTTTTTAGAACCAATAAGCACTACAGTTGTAATGATTTATTTCTATGTTTAACAGAATACAATATGTACTACCAATCTATCTCTATCACAACTTCTTCATTTGTAAATTCTTAATTTGATTCTTCTTTTACATGGCAGGGTTCTTTCAAGCAGATTTTTCGGGAAGATTTTATTAATGCTAAAATTACAAAGTTCTTACGTATTTAAGAATGCATTTTCCATGCTTTTACATATGAAAAATATCATGGCTAGGTTAAGAATTCTTTTGTCATATTCTTTTTTCTCAAGACTGCTCCATTATCTTCTAGTATTTCTGTGGCTAGAAGTTTAAGACCTACCTGGTATGTGTTTTTTTTTTCCTTTAAAACTGATAGCTTTCTTTTGCTTAAATTCTTGTAAGATTTTTTTTTTTTTTATCCTTGAAATTCAGTTACTTCATTAGGATATATCTTGATCTTGGTGGAACTCTTATTGCTTTCTTCCTGATACATTGTTTTAACCTGAAGATTCAGATCTTTTCTTTCATGAGAATATTTTTCTATTAAATATTTGAATAATTTTCTATTCCATTTGTTCTCTTCTCTAGAAACACCAGTTATGTGTGTGTTGAATCTTTCTTGCCTCTTTTCACATCTCTTACTCAAATATTAGCTACGGCCCCTTGGCCCTTTGACAATCTAGATAACTGGTTAAGTACCCAGCCAATTCCAGAATGTATAAAAAGACTAAAGAGCTCACTATTTCAGTTAAATTCTGTGTCTTTATTTCTCTCTCACACAGATACAAAACTCATACATTTTTTTAAAAAGTTGGTTTTCCCAAGAAATCAACTGACATCAATATTTAATGGTTTTTAGTTGAAATTACTCAGAATTGGAAAAGATATGATGAGGAGTTATATCCCAGGGTTCATGGACTTCTATCATCTCCTTCATTCTATTTCTCTACTCCGTCCTCCCACCTCTGCTCCTTATCTCCTCCATCCTGGATGGCTGCCCCAGTTCCAAATTCTTTCTCCTGTATTTTTACCGAGTAACTTCGCTCTTTCTTTAAAATCTTCTGAACAATTTACCAAGCCTGGAGCTGGGAGTGGGAAGGAGGTAGGGATATTAGAACTCTTTTTCTACCCTTACAATCTACTCAGCCAAACAAAAGCTTTAGTCACAGGTGTATTCAGGTGTTTAAATGATGTCATCAAGATTATATTTCCCACCTTTCATCTCAGGTTCTGTTTGTCTCTGCTTCTTTTCGCATGTGGCTTCACTCTCTTTTGATCTAAATATGCTCATTATATGTGGCAGAAAAGATCGCTACTGGTGGCCTCAGTCTCATAACTTTATAATTCATGGTACAAAAGTGAGACTTTCTCTCTTTCCCCCTATTTCATATATCAAATCTCTCGGAAAAAAATATGATTGGATTTGCTTGGCCAATGCCCAATTAACTGCATTGTGTGTAAACATGGCTGGGGTTTCTTGATTGGACAGGGTGGGCCATGTACCCAGCCCCATAGCCCATGGGAATTATAGGATCTGTAGAGAACAATTCCCCAGTATGAAGAGGATGTATTGTGTCAGGAAGACAAAAGCAACAGATGTCTACCACACCTCACACTCTTTGGTATGGAAATGTGCCGTAGCTGTATTCCCTTTCTCTCCCAAAGCTCATCCTGACTCTAGTTAAGGGTTATTTGCAGGATCTTTCAGAGCCTTTTCACTTGATATCAATATTTGTATCCTGTTAAAGACTTGGGGACCTAGCCTCCGCTTGTGTTTTCACCTCTTTTGTGATTCTTTTTCTTTGTCTTCTTAGTAGATTTCAGGAAGGGGAGTTAAGACAATGGGACATTACTTTTATAAAAGTTCTTTTGTTTGTTTTTGTTTTACATGCATGTGAAGTATGGTGGTAACCAAAAAGTAAATGAGAAGAAGTAAGAATAGGGTAAAAGACTGAAGAAAAAATGACCTCATAAATCCTGATCTTTCAAAGGGGAATTATAGTCGCTGCAGTGGTTTGTCAACACTGTGCAAGTCATGACCAGGCAATTCCATTAGTAAAAAATCTCAGTCGACTACGTATGTGGATGTTCCTAGAGTCAAAGAAAAATCTTGCTTTGAATCTATTCGTTGACAGCAATGCACATTTATTGAGCACTTGAGATTTGCCAGGCACTGTGCTAAGTACTGAGTATGAACACCGGTGATTAAAACAGACAATGTCTTAAGAACTTGAAATCTAGCTATTGTGTTGTATAAATCCTTTACTTCCTCTATATACTCCATTCTTTATTATAAGTGATGATTCTAGAAGATTTTACTGTATTTATTACGAAGTATTTAAAAGTATACAAAAGTATTTCTTAAAAAGTATTAAAAAATACTTACCTGTGTGATAATAGCCACCACTTGTTGAGCTCCTATTATGTTATGTATACTTTATATATATACTATTTCTAATCCTTCCAACAGTGCCCTGGTGGCGCAGTGATTAAGAGCTCAGTCTACCAACTAACAGGTTGGAAGTTCAAATCCGCCAGCTGCTCCTTGGAAACTCTATTGGGCCGTTCTACTCTGTCCTATAGGGTCACTATGAGTCGGAATCAACTAGACAGCAATGGATTTGGTTTTGATTTTAATCCTCCCAGAAACCCTATGAGGTAAGTGTGATTATATCCAGTATACAGATAAGAAAAATGAGATTTAAACAGGTTAAATTGGAGATAATTCTCAAGGTCATGTGGCTTGGAACTCAAATCTCAAGTTCCTCTGTCTCCAACTGTTTTCTGCCGCAAAGCTGCTCTCTCTGCATCTTGTCATCCTGGCTTCCCTTTTGTAACTGCTTCCTTCTCTCTCAATTTCCTAGTTTCACCCAGTTTATCTTGTTTCCCTGGCCCATGCCATAGTCTCTAACCTGCCCTTCCACCCCAATCCAGTCAGCTGTGACTGCTGCAGTGGGATCCTGTGTTCAAATATGGCCACATAAATCCGCCTCTGCAGCAGCAGCCATCGGAGGCAGAACTCCCCTTAAAGAGGATATGAGCATGAGCTAAGACGATTGGCCTTAAAAGCAGACATTACGGAATGACATGATTTTATTAATTTATTAATTAACATGATTTTATTAAATTTTGTGTCACAGTGGCAGAGGACCTGTCCAGAGTCATTTCATGTAGATAAGGGGGCTAGTCAACATCTGAATTAGATGCAGTATTGAAAAGTGACAAACCAAGTGTCAAAAATAAAAAAAATAAAACCCATTGCTGTCCAGTGGATTCTAACTCATAGCGACCCTATAGGACAGGGTAGAACTGCCCCATAGAGTTTCCAAGGAGCGCCTGATGGATTCGAACTGGCAACCTTTTGGATAGTGATTGTAGCGTTTAACCACTATGCCACCAAGGTTTCCAAGTAATCATAGTACATAAGTTGTACTATTATACAATCATCAAGAGTTATATTTGCAAAGAATTTTAATGGCCTGGGAAAATGCCCAAAATAAGCTAAGTGAAAAAAATAATTAGGATTAAAATTCTAAATATGTCATATATTAAATGAACATTAATATGCATTTTTTAAAAGATTAAAAGGAAATATTAAGTTAAAACCAAAAAAAGAAGGAAAAGAAGAGGGGTGGGCCAATCAAAGGAGTTCTAGAAAAAAGAAAAGAAGGCAAGAAAGCCTTCTGCTTGTCATCACTGTCAAGGGAATAGGGTTCCTGACCAGGAAGCATGGCTCTATGTTGCAGATACACCTCAGAGTGGGTGAATGCCTTATAGGTTCTTATATTGTGGTAAAAATATTTGGTAACACAGTTAACTCACTTGGCCGAGACTCTATACAGCCAACTTATGATTCTTAAGGTCTAGTGAGTACTTCTGTCTTTTTGAGAACATACTTTTCTCTGCTAGAATACTAGACTGGCTGTCTGGTTTACAAAGCAGTCCCCTGTTTAGATAAAGTGAGACAGTTACCTCAATTACCTCATTCATCTTGAGGTTCACCAAAGGAGTTCTGAAACTTCAGAGCAGAGAAAGCAAACCCTAGCCTGTGGTCACCTCACCACAGCAAAAAGAAACCAAACAGGTTCAACCTGAAACTGCCTACTAACCTTTCCCATTTCCTCACCCCAGACGGTTTTGAGATCATTCAACAAAGGGACCAGCTTTTTATATTTGTAACTGACATCTTACCTAAATGAAATGCTCACAGCCTGAGATCTTGTATAGCTTATAGGTTGGATCCAAGACACAATGCCTCTACTGTCTGTCCCTGGACAGTCATACTCACATACATTTTTAAGATTATGGAGGTAGATTTTTGTGGATAAGGAAGGAAAAAATTCCATAACTAAAAACTAGGGAAACCATTGGTTAGATGGAACCAAGGAAGAAAATCTAGGAATGAAAGCAGACCACAAGCTGGATATGAGTCAACAAAACAACAGAAAACAAGCGCACACACACACCCCCCACAGCATTTGAAAATGTTCAATGAGAGCTTTGTTTGTAAGACAATTCTACCCTTTCTCTGTCCCTCTCTAGTGAAGACACAAATAGAGCACTGTGGCAGAGAGCACCTCAATAATGGCATTAACTCTGGAAAACAAATATGAGGAAGAGAGAGTGAATAAAAACTGAGATGTTTCATAGAAGTGCAATAGTAATCAATAAATATATAAATGCTTACATTTAAAGAAATAGCAAGGTAGAGTAAGAAAGGAGAGATTAAGGGGGTTAGTTCACACCATTTGCTAGAGAAGCATAAGGTACAATCATCAGACTCAAAGGTATAAGTTAACAATCCTGAGTTTAAGTAGAAAAGTC